GATAACTTTTGCCGACCAAAAATGGGCTTTTAGCGACCAATTTTTTGGTCGGCAAAAGTGTTAATTCTTGTAGTGTATGTAAAAAAATTAAATTGATCAGATATCAATAGTTGTATAATCTGATTGCATTTATTTATTTTTTTAAAAACAATTAATGACTAATGCGATTTTTAGAATAAATCATTTATTTTTTTTAAATGAATTCGCACGACAAGAACTTACCTCCAATGAGAAAGTTAGGGTTTCTTTTCTCACAGGAGTTGATTTTTTCCGTCACTGCCGATCAACGATTGGATCATTCGAGAGCCTGAAAACAAAATAAGGATGATTATTCAATTAATACATAGAGATACATATAAAAATTCATATATATACTTGTATAGAGAGTTTTTTAGGACAAAAAAATTATCCAAAAAAAAGTACAGATAATGTATACACAGAGAACGAGACTGTGCGAGAGAGAACGAGATCGAGAGAGAGGGAGACAGAGACAGGCAGAGATCGAGAGAGAGAGAAGAATCGACGAAACTGAGATTGGATTGAAATCAAAATCGTGCAGATGGTTAGTAGACGATGCAGATGCAGATGCAGATGGGGGTGGCGGTGGCGGTGATTGTGGAGCTTCGAAATCAAAATCATTCTGAGATTGGATCGACCAAATGATGAATCACCGAGCGAAGAAGGTTGAATTAAGTTGAAGGAGCTGAAGGGTTTAGAGAGAGAGAGAGAACGAGTGAGAGATTTGAGGGATCGGTTTCTCTAAGACTCTAGGGTTTCTCAGATTCAAATACGTTGGCGAGAGATTGGAGGGTTTGAAGAGAGAGAGAGAGAAACACATTTGGAGGCGCTTTTCAAACGATTTGGATTACTTAAACGGTACCGTTTTAATTAAAATAGAATATGACGTTTATAAAACGTCGTTAAATGTTAGAAATAGTGACGTTTAAAAAAACGCCGTTAAATAAACGCCGTAAAATCATATATTTCCTGTAGTGATATGTGAGAAGATTGTGGGCCACTAATTCATTCATTCATGAAGAAGTGCTTGTGAAAAGAAAAGAAAAAAGACAACAAAATATATTTAAAATTTTAATTTTGTCAATTTAAATTATGATTCCTTAATTTTTTTTTCAATTTAAAGTATTTGTCTATTTTATTAAGTAAAATCAATAAAAAAATAATCATTAAATTAAATATAAGTATACACAAAATAATTAAAATATCATTTTCATGTTTAAAGATTAAAATACTTATTTTTCTATCAATTTTACTCAATGTGAATAGATAAAAAATAATATAGATTGAAAATAAATAAAAAATTTAAGATTTAAATCTATAAAATAAAAAATTTATTTTGTTATAATTTTCAAAACCTATTTTTTTTTTATAAAAAAAATATAATTAAAATTTCCCAACTTTATTGGCATTGAACTGACCATTTCATTTTAGGTCTTGTTTGGGAAGGTAGTTATTTTAGTTGGTTATTTGATTTTTTAATTATTTTGGAATTTAGGTGAAAAGTTAAATTTTTTGTTTTTAAAAAAATAAAAATAAAAATAAAAATAAAAATAAAAATAAAGAGGTGATATGACTTAAAAGATATTAAAAATAAAAAAAAATTGTTTTTAACCTTTTGCCAAAAGAGGTAATTTGGAAACTTGATAAAAAGCCAGCTTTTTGACTTTTTTATTTTTTTTACACAAAAAAGTCGAAAAATTTTATTTCTACACACCTAAGTTAGCTTAGGGCACAAACTTAATGAAATATTAATTTAATGACAATTATATTATAGACATTCAACAACATTCATAATATTATACAAAAAATTCTTTGTACATATCTTTTAACAATAAAAGTATCTCAATATACACTTTTTGAGTTAAAAAATAAAAAATTCTAATTTTTCTATTGTTGTCACATTGCTGGTGAAGTAGTTACTATTTTTTTAGGGATCCTAAAAGGCCCAACTTTTGCTGATAGATTCTTGTTTCTGTGGTTACAAATCTGTATGTTCATAATTTTATTTGTTCTAGATGTGTTTATGTTGCTTATTTTATCCCTTCCATCATTTTAGTTCGTTTAATAAGGATTTGTAAATACTCCTCTTGGTGTCATATATTTATAAATACACATCAGTTTCAACATTTTGCCATTGTCATCATTGATGCCAATCAGAGTTCTTACTTATCATCTTGTAATTTTCTTGTTCTTCTTTTTTAGTAGAAGCATGTGGCAGTTGTTAAAAACCGCTATTATTTCAAGCTATTGTTCAACATGGGCTGTGAAATTTCTCTACTGGTCTATTGTTAACTAGGATAAAAATTATTAGAGGTTTCCATTCATTAAACTCATTTCCAGCTCGATTTTTTGGATTTCATTATATTTGTTCTGCATTATTGTTGTGTTGTGTAATTGACATGCACACGGTACAACAAAAATGGAAAAAAAAAAAAACATAAAAAAAGTAAAAGAAACTATTTCTGTAGGGTAAAAACCATTTCCTTCAATAAGGGTCTTCAATGATTTTCAATGGAGGTCTTCAATGAAGAAAATTTCACTGACTTTGATCTTCACTTTTGTGTGGGTGGAACTACAAATGTAGAAATAGGGTTTTAGAAAGTACGTGGAAAGAAGGGTAAAGTGTTGTGTGTACAATGGTTATGAGTGAAGGGTATAATTGTAATTTTAAGTGTGTGGAGTGAGAAAATTAGTTAATAATCAAATTAATAGGTGTGTATATTGAGAAAAGATATACACTGAGTTAATTAAGTGTGTGAAAATGAAATTTTTCAAAAAATTCATAAAAAAACCAACTTTTTTTAGCAAAAAAGTCAAAAAGTTAACTTTTTACCAACTTCTTAAAACACCACATAGGCCCCGTTTGGTAGAACTGTGGGAAAGTGATTATAACTTATAACTTAATAGTTTATAGCTTATAACTGTGAATATAAGTTAATTTTTGACTTATAAATTAAGCTTCTTCTCCCCCACTCAAAGAATAAGTTGATTTTTTACTTACAAAAAGCTATAAGCTGTATTGTTAAGCTGAACCAAACATATCAAAATAGCTTAAATTAAGCTAAAAGTTGAAATAAGGTAGAAATAAGCCCTACCAAACAAGGCCATAGTTGTGTTTAAAAATAAAGAGGTGATATGACTCAATCATTGTTGACACGTATGAATTTACATTTTTAACTTTCGAATTGTCAAAAAGCCAATGTGTACCAATGTCGTCAATACCATTACCTATCGGCTATTACTGACTAGTAAGGTACTAGTTTAGAAGAAAAACGCGACAGCACAACTGTAATATGGTATTGCCTATATTCTCGGCTTTGGATGCTTTCATTCTTAATAGAAAATATTAGCTGGAATTGTGAATACCCTTGTGCACTATTTGATTCACTGGAGTGTGATGGAATGGTTATTCCTTGGGCTTCCTTACAGAATGATCATTCCATTACATTGGTGCATGATGATTCTATTTATAATCTATTTTTCATTATTTTTTTTTTAATGAACCAAATATGGGAATAGACATTTTGACGGAATGATCATTCTATCCCACTCTATTGTAGCGAACTTTACGGTATATCCGGTAGGTATTTTGTTCTTGGGTTAGAACTAGTTGATAAAACAATACAGCTTTTATTTGGTGAGTTCATGTTCTTGGGTTAGAACTAGTTGATAAAACAGTACAGCTTACTTTGTGAAGGGCAATGTTCACCTCTTTCCTCTTTCACTCGCATGAATGATTTGCTGCTCCAAATTTCCAAATCTGCTTCAGCCTTATCAGTCTCATGAGGTACCTGTGTGTGTGTGTGTGATTCTCTAATTTTTCACCGTCTTTCACTTGCACCGTTGCACTTTTTGTTCTGTATTTTAGATCTATGTTTTTCTGTTGTTCTTTTGGCATGGATTGCAAACTGGATTTGTTTTTCTTTTCTTTTCTTGGGCCTTTTCTAGCTTGCTGTGGTTCATGTTTGCTTTTCCTTAGTAAGCTAAAGCTTATTGTTCTCTGATGATGCCAATATATAGTTGGCGTGTAATGTTAAAATTATTTGATATTGGATAATATTTTTAATAAATATATAATATTTGTAGTGATAAATCCGAGACAGTACTAGTACTAATACCAGTATATACAATACCAACTAAAAAAATTGATTTCTTATCTGGTACGAGATTGACAACTTCCATATGTAACAACATGCAAGCAATTGAACTGTAAATGAGCCTAGAAAAATGTGGGTTAGGGAGGTATGGAAAGAGACAAGAAAACAAAAGAGTGATTACCAACCACAAAAGGAAGTCATGGTTCTTCTGTGTGTGTGCATCTTTGCAAATCTTTCAAGTTTCTTTGTGATTATGGAGCCTTCCACATAAATCATAATTGCACCGGAGTGATCAAAAGACGAATACATTTTTTAAACTCTATGTACAAATATACATGTATTTACAATATGATGGTGTTTGAAGACTTGAATTTTGGTTAAAATAGTCAATAAAGACAAAAATGACTAAAATAATTAATAAAATAAAATGTCACATTTTATACATCAATCAATCAATCATTTTTTTTTCATAACATTTAATTATAAAAAAATTCACAAATCATCTCAAATACAATTTCTTTTTCATCTTATAAAATAATTAAAAGGTAAAAAAAACAACTAGAATAGGCAAGTTTTCAAACGAGGCCGATATATAGATTATATATATACATAGAAAAAAAATTAAATATCATAAAAACAATTTGTAATAGAATGATTTTTTTTTTAATTTATATGTAAAATAAAAAGAGAATGCAAGATGTTATCGTACACACCCTCTTACGTAAGTTATTACATTTGTAGTGTTGATTACCACAAACGTCGTAATTAATTTTTTTACAAGTTATAACTAAAGAAAAAAGTTATAATCAAACACCACTTAGGATATAATTAAAGAGCTCTTCAATTATAATCAAAATAATATCATAATCAACATCACAATGAGTCATAACTAATATTATAATTTATATAACCAAATCATAACTAATAGGGCAAATTACATATACCCCCTCGAGGTTTGGCTAAATTATAAATACCCCCCTGAGGTATGAGAAATTACAAATTTCCCCCTGAATGCTATATTTGCATAACAAATTAGGAGGTAATTTGTTATGAAATATAAACTTCAGGGGGCAAATTGTTATGAAAATACAAACCTCAGGGAGTGGGATGTAATTTTCGAAATCTCAGGGGGGTATTTGTAATTTAGCTAAATCTCGAGGGAGGTATTTGTAATTTGCCCGTTATTCATCAATCTGATGTAGGGTTGGGTTTCCGTTTTAGGGTGTTGTTCCAACCTATAAGGCTCACCATAAGTCTCATTTCGATGATTTAAACCGTTTATTTTATAAAGTTCTTTGTTTTATCCTTCACAAAAAACAAAAAATAAAGTTGATTCGATAATTGTAGCCTTCAATTTATTGCTTTTGTCATCAAAATAATGGTCTATTTTCAAAAACACACATCTATTTATTTTTTTAGGATAAATTATAAATACAATCCTTAAGATTTGCTTAAAATACGAATTGCCCCCATTTGGTTCTGGAAATTACATTCCATTCTTTGAAGTTTCTAATTTCATAACAAATGACCCATTTTATTAATAAATAATCAAGTCAATTAACAGTTGTTAATGATGTCATAAATATATTTTAATTAATAATTTAGGTAATTTTATTATTATATTAGGAATTTTGTTTTTTTAGTTAATTTTGTTAAATAAAAAATTGTGACAATAGATATTTGTAATTTTTTAAATCACAAGGGACAATCAGTATTTTAAACAAATCTCGGAGAGTGTATTTGTAATTTATCATTTTTTAAGACAAACGCCATAAATTGAATATATTACAATTATCTGATTGATTTAATTTTCTTTGTAAATGATGTGTTTGGGATGTCATAAAAAAGCCACCTTTTTTTTTCCCCAAATATATATATTTTTATATTTAGTGATTTTTTTATTTAAATTATGTCTATTTTTTTTTTATTTTTTCAGTTTATCTTGTTTAGACAAATCTAAAACGTAAATCTTTTTTGAAAAATTTCAAAAAAAAAAAAGAAAAGAAAAAGCCAAAAGAAACAAAAAAACATTCACTATTTTTTGCTTATTTTTATCTTCTCGGAAATTATTTTGAAATTTTTATTTTCATTTTCAATTTTTTTTTGATTTATATCACCAAGTTGAATTTAAAAATTTAAAATTTAATTTTTTTTTTTTAAAAAAAAACATTCATCAAAGACGAGTATTAAAAAAAAAAAAAAAAAATCTCTAAATAAGTGAATCCCAACTTCCCAAGCCATTGGCGGAACTGAACCACATCGTCCAAATCAAATATGGAATCAGAGAGTCTGTTGAGGAGGTAATACTATACTCTCCAACTTATTCAAAAAAAAAGAAAAAAAAAAGGCAATTATTTTTTTTTAATTTTAATTTTGTAACAAAATATATTTAAAATTTTAATTTTGTCAATTTAAATTATGATCTCTTAATTTTTTTTCAATTTAAATTATTTATCTATTTTATTAAGTAAAATCAATAAAAAAAATTTAATCATTAAATTTAATATAAGTATACACAAAATATTTAAAATATCATTTTCATGTTTAAAGATTAAAATACTTAATTTTCTATGTAAATAGATAAAAAATAATGCATGCCTTTATGATACGTTGAAGTATTTTACGATCTTTTTGTAGAATAATACAATTTTTGCTCCTCAGACATTTGACATGTATCTATACCCATAATTTCCATCTCCATTTGTATTTTCTTCAAATTCAACTTCTTTTCATCTTGCTCTTATCTTTTTTTGAAGAAGTTCCATTTTTCTTTCATCTCTTTCTTTTTTCTCATTTGTGAGTCTTTTGGTAGAGATCCACAACAGGGGTAGCTTCTTTGCTGGCAGATTGTTTCATCTTCCTCTTCTCAGCCTTTCTTCCGAAATAAAAATAAAATTAAAATATGACTCGAAAGATAATTAAAAATCAAAAAAGTTTCTTTTAACCTCTTAGATAATTAAAAATCAAAAAAGTTTCTTTTAACCTCTTAGCCTGGTTATATAGCAGCAAATTGAAAACTTGATAAAAAAATCAATTTTTTGGTTTTTTTCAAAAAAAGTTGGCTTTTTAGTAAAAAAATCAAAAAAGTTAATATTTTAGCAACTTCTCAAAATACCACGTAATTGTATTTAAGAAGTTAATTAATTTTTTTATAATTAATTTAATAGTGAAAAAATAAAATAATTATCAATTAAATATGAGATTTTATTTTATTAATTATTTTAATTTATTTTATTTTTAGTGGATAGCCAACCATCTTTCCTATAGTTACTCGAGGGAGAGGGGGAGAGAGAGAGAGAGAGTGAGAGAGAGAGAATGCCGTTGGGGAAGTATTACTGCGATTACTGTGAGAAACAATTCCAGGACACTCCATCAGCTAGGAAGCGCCATCTCCAGGGCGTCCAGCACCAGCGATCCAAAGCTCTCTGGTACAATAATATTAATAATAATTCCTTACGAGGTTCTCTCTCTCTCTCTCTCCCCAAAACCCTAGCACATTTACAAACACATACATACACATATGCATATAATAATATATCTATTCTGCTGTATATAATCATCAATCAATCATATAATTCCGACTTCACTCTCTTCAATTTGATCGCATATATTTTTTTTTGTAATAAGCAGATGCCAATCAACAGTTTCATCCAGACTCCTTTGGGAGAGGACTCTGCAATCGCTTCCTCAGAACGGTACTTTTTTTTCCTTATTTTTTTGGTTGAATTTAATTACACTTTGGTAGTTCCATCCAAATTTCAATTTGGACCCTACTGTAGTTTCAATTGGGTCATTCTGTCCAAATTATAGGTTAAAATTAATAATTTCGGAACACTTGTGAATTTTCTAAGATATACATGCTCAAAATTAACTGAAATTTAGATGGAAGGAACAAATTGAAATTGGTCTTCCAAGTTTAGAGACCAAATGGTTCAAATTGAAGAGTCCAGATCCCCTCCTTGAGCCCCCTCCTTCATTCCCTCCTTGCAGGGGCTTTCGGGTCCACTTTGAGGTCCAGTTTTGATAATCCGAACCGTTCATATTTTTAGATTTATTCAGTATATTATACCTGTAAAAAATCAAGTTGATCGGATATCAGAAAGTATGCGTTCAGAAAATTGGGACTACAAACTATTTTTTAATAAACAGTTTTCCGAACACATATTTTATGATATTCGATCAACTTGATTTTTTACAGGTATTATATACTGAATAAATCTAAAAATATGAACGGTTCGGATTATCAAAACTGGGCCTCAAAGTGGACCCGAAGGCCCCTGCAAGGAGGGAATGAAGGAGGGGGCTCAAGGGGAGGATCCCAATTCCAAATTGAAACAAGAGGAACTGAAGTGAAATTTTGGTCAAACTACGGGGGTCAAAAGTGTAATTAATTAATTAATTAATTTTTTTTTTTTTTTGGGGGGGTTTTCATTTATTTAAATGTTATGATCCTAAGTGCCACATTGCCTAAGTATAGACTTTACCGGTTTTCAAGAGTTTTAGTGGATTGATTTAATTTTCTTTGTAAATGATGCACGCGGGTATTAGTGTATCTCCACTTAAACCTTCAAAATTTGATATGTCAAATTTTTTTGAAGGCTTAAGTGCAAATTCACATATGCAATTTGACATGGAAGGTCTCCCAATGTGTCAAATCTATCATTCTATTATTTTTAAAATTTAAAATCTTTTATTTCTACTAATTAAAATAAATTTATTTTTAAAAGAGGTTTGATGTCATTTGAATAATATTTTATATTTATAAAATATTTTTTTAACAAAATTCAAAATTTTTATTCATTTCTACTTAAAACATTTTTTTTTCCCTTTCAATTTGGTGAAAAAAAGAAAAATTAGAGTACAATACATATTTAAAAATAAAATGACAATACATAAATATCATAATAAATCACATGCTATGATTGCCCCCCTGAAAATGCCACAGATGTTCAACCAAATCTTTTTGGAGTCGTGGATGTGATCTTCTGTTATGAATGTGCAAGTGATTTTGAATGAAATTTCTGAATTTTGTTGTATGTTCCCATGACACCGCAACATCACCACCTCCATCCTCTATTGTATCATAATTGGTTGGAATGTGTTTACCACATTCATCTTCCACAATCATGTTGTGCATTATAATGCATGCCTTTATGATACGTTGAAGTATTTTACGATCTTTTTGTAGAATAATACAATTTTTGCTCCTCAGACATTTGACATGTATCTATACCCATAATTTCCATCTCCATTTGTATTTTCTTCAAATTCAACTTCTTTTCATCTTGCTCTTATCTTTTTTTGAAGAAGTTCCATTTTTCTTTCATCTCTTTCTTTTTTCTCATTTGTGAGTCTTTTGGTAGAGATCCACAACAGGGGTAGCTTCTTTGCTGACAGATTGTTTCATCTTCCTCTTCTCAGCCTTTCTTCCGGGTAATATAGCCGAGGGATCGTAAGTAGTGTTGTTGAAGTCATCTTCCTCCATATTTATAGGAGTGCTTGGATTAGAAGACAACGAATAACCAAGAGTTGAAAATTTGTATTTTTTTGTAATTGTCTTCACCACATTTTCTTGCAATTGCATCTCAACAAATTCCATGCATCATCCATGGTGAATTTTGATCCATAAATTTCGTTGTATAATTTTTTTCTTCAACAATCTGAAAAAATAAATAAATATAACTAAGATTAAATTGTAAAAGAAACTAACATTTATATACAAAATTTTACCCTGTCTTGTTCATTCACGCCGCTTTGATTTATAGTGATAATGGTGGAAGACATCCACAAAATTTGTTGACTGTTGCTTGAATTTTTTGCCATCATTGTGCTAACATTTTATCTGATCGAACACTAGTAAATTGCTTATGTTCATGATAGTATTCTCCCACTTGTTGCCAAAAAGTTTCAAATTTTTGCTCGTTCAGCATCTATGCTAGTGTTGAGCGATGAACTAACGAGAAGCCGATCTTCTTCCACGAACAATGTATTTTTTTTGGGGACTTCATCACTAGGATTTTCAGATATTTCAGCAGAAAACTGTGTTGGGTGGAAAAATATGGAAATTGAGAGTATGGTGAATCCATAATGTGAATGGTTGAAAAAAAATATTACTCAACTTCAAATTTATAGATATTATAATAAAATAAAATAAATAATTTTTGGTATGTTAAATCAAATGGTAATAAAGGATACTACCATTGGAGAAAGAATTAAAATTGAAAATTATTACCGTTGGAGAAAGAATACTACCTTGGAAAAAAAAAAAAAGAAAAAAAGAAAAGCCATGACATGATTCAAGAAAATGTGTTGTTCGTGTTTTAAATGAGAAAAAAAAGAGCCGTTGGAAGTTTCAATTTAAGACAAGAAAAAGAAAAAAGAAAAGTCATGAAGGGGACTTCATGTCAAAATTGGCATGAAGGGGTGATGCCAAATGCCAACTCAACATTTGGCATATTGGGTGGACTTCATTCTTCATGTCAAAATTGAGTTGTTGGACTGCCATATTGGATTTGGCATATTGGGTGGAGGTGCTCTTAGAGATTAAACAGATTGACTCGAGTAGAAAAACAACTCTTTTTAGCCAAGGATTCTGAGTATCGCAAACGGTTCGTATCATAAATGGTTAAATGTGAATCGGATCAAACAGATTGATCTCATTCACTACATAAATGCTTATATAAGCTTGACTAATATAAACAATTGGGCTCTCCCTTGCAAGCCCTTCTCTTTGGTATTATTGCGCTCACTTCTTTTTCAATTGTTTTGGATAATTGTATTGAATAAGTCTTCAGACAATTTGGACTTTGTCTTGTATTTTGTTGTTTCGTGTTCATTCTTTATTTTTGGAAATTAACACATTTTTTTTTTACAAATTGCATTGTATTTGTGCTGGTTGTTGACACCCAATTGTTGTTTAAGGATTCATCGAATATTTTGGTGCCCTTTCGGTATATTCCAGTACTATTTAGTTGTTTTAGAACTATTAACAAATTTAATTTGATAAAAACTATCAATATATATATATATGTTAGAATTTACCATCACCTACCACCACTACCACCTCACCTACTCCACTAAACCTAACCCACTACACCACTACCACCTCACCTACTCCACTAAACCTAACCCACTACACCAATATCACCATCCACTACACACCATCCACTACACCTACATCTATATAAGGAACCATTTGTAATAGACAAAAAAAAATCAATCAATATATAAATCAATAATACATTTCTCTATTTCTTTTTATACATTGCATTTTTTACATGGTATCAGAGCAGGTTTAGAATCTAATAATTTGCTTCACCGGCGGGCGGCAACCTCGTCTTGACCGCCCGCCGGACCTCTACACGTACCTTCACTCCGCTGCCAGAAAGTCATAGCTGAACTCTTCTCTGCCTCACACATATTTGTTCATCAATGGCGACATCGAGCCACCATCTTCTCCTCCTGTGGTGTCCGCTCTGCTGGTTTCAGTCTCACTCCTCTCCAACGCATAAAATTGATTTGGGGTCTTTCTCAAATCTTCCAAATCATACCTCTTCAATTTATCTGTTTTTCTATCTGAGAAAAAGAATGGAACTGGTACTGCTGGTAGCATCCTGGTACTGCTGGTACTCAGACAAAAGATCGAATCTGTTCCTCTCTCTCCTTCGGTCCGTGAACCGCGAGATCAACTTGCGACTCCGGTTGCCGTCGCCTCTGACGGTGTCAGTCTTCCGGTTCACAATTTCCGCCTCTCAGAAGGACAAGCGTTTCAGTGGTTCTGTGAAGTTGCCTCATATCCCTCACCCAAATCCAGCAGAATTTGGTTCTGGTCATTCTTTGCCATTGTGGGCTTTCTATGCAGGCATACAATTTCCTTGCTTTCCATTGCATAACCCAGTTCCAACAAAGGCAAATCCATCATCCTTTAGTGGGCAAACCCAAGAGAGAGAAGTTCAAAAGGAAGGATCTTGGACTGGTTCAAACACCGGATCAGTAAATGCTGGGGGAGATGGTGATAGAAATTGGGAGGTTGAGACCCAAAGTCGCCAACTTTCTTTTGTCAAGGAGGAAAATGAGTATCAACCGAAGTTCTTGTGTAAACCTAATGAAAAAGCATTTTTCTCAGAACAAAGAGCTAGTCAGGGCTAGCCTTTCTTGGGGCAAGACACCCACTCAATATCTCTCTCATTTTTTTTTTTGAAAACACTTTATTCCTCTCTCACACCATTCACACTGCCACATACACAGCACATGCACGACACCATTCACACCCATTCTTGTTATTTTAATACACACATCCACTACCTCACCTTTATTTTCATTATTATAAAACACTATCCCCAATTTTATATAAACTTTTCTATTCTAAACTTTTCTCCACCACCCAACACCATCATCACATTTTCCACCACCCACCTTTTTCTCTTTTATTTCATAAATAAATACATAACTAAAAAATAAAAAATAAAAATAAAAAAATAAAAAATAAAAAAATAAAAAAAAATAAATCATCCATGGTGAATTTTGATCCATAAATTTCGTTGTATAATTTTTTTCTTCAACAATCTGAAAAAATAAATAAATATAACTAAGATTAAGGGTTGGTTTGGGATGTTCTAAAAAAGTACACTTTTTGACTTATTGACTTATATGGGTTGGGTTTAGGTTGGGTTTGAAGTGATGTGTTAGAGAGGTG